CACCCAACTTCAAAATTCTAGAAGACATAGGTTTAAGTATAAATCGTGCAAAAAGTATAGACATCAGATAACAGACCTGTTCCAATTCTGGAAGTAGATATATGTCATTTTGTTCTCACAAGTTTAACATTTGAGCTTGAATCTTGTCTCTAAATAACTGACAATCATATTTTAAAATATTTAAACTCCATTTTCTGGCTAACTTTAAGGAGGCTATTACTCTTTTTGCAAGCTGTATGCTCCATGGAAAAGTTTCAAATGCATGTACAAATGATCAACATAATAACTGAATAACTGAAATAATCAAACATCATAATTCTGGGGTTGCCGGGACCAGAATAGTGAGGCAAATGCTGGTAAAGGGATTTGATGTCACAGAGGACAACCTACTGTAGTCAGATTCATCCAAGGTTTCATTTTTTTAAGAGACTGGGACTGCTTATGATCATGTCTCATATACTAATTGACTCAGCAAAATATCAAAACCTGTTCTGCTGAGAGTTGCCTAGGTGCTATCGATGGCGCATCTCCCGGGGAACAGCTTTGCCGTGAGACCCCCTCACCTGTGCTGGAGGAGACTGCAAAGGGTTATTCTCAAGCAGTAATACTTGCAGCTGCTTCATCTCTCTAAAACAAATGGGAATCACGAGCACTTTATTGCAGGAAAAGTCAAACTTTACCAAGGGAAGATCTACTAGTTCTAAAAGAACAGGGAAAAAAAAAGAAAGAAAGAAAGAAAAAAAACTCAGAAAGCAACAAGATTAAATAGCTAAACATTCAAAAATTAATTTTCTGCTTATCAAGAAATATATCATTTAGCATAACTAAAGCAAGTTGGTCATAAGAATGTATGTTATGTGTACATAAAATTTTACCAAAGAGGGTGAGAAAAGCTTTCATTGGGGGCCCAACAATTTTAAATTGTTGTTAGTTCTGTTAAGAGCTGGAAACACTTGACGTTTACAATATCTATTGTTTAAAAAGGGTTTTTTCCCCAGCAAAACAACCACAGAAGCCACACTACACAAGACATGCCTATGTTTTAACTTCAAACTGTATTCAAACAGCTCGCTAGTACGAATAATATGCTAAGTACAACATATTCTCATGTATTCAATGTATGTGGGCTGCATAATCTCAGAACTCGTCACAAGAAACATTCATGATTGTTTAACTCTACTTTAAAAAGTAAGTGCAATCTAATTCAAAATTTTGCAACAGACCCTGTAATCCTGATTTGATAAGGCTTTATTCTACCGCTTTAAAAAAGCCTTCTGCAGCTTCACAAACAAGACAGAACATTATATTTAGCTTAAAATCCCCACCCAGTGGCATAGTAAACACTCAGTAATTTCAAGCATTCCAACCGACATTGGCAGCTGCAAGAAACAAAGTCAAATATATTCCATAGAGCAAAGAGGCTGAGCAATGCCAGACATGTACAGTGACACGGGGCAAACCACTAAGATCTCCTTGTCAAAGGCCACGGGGGTTCATTTCAGAATGGGCCTCACCATGTTTGTTATGAAACCTGGTAGGGGATGATATACCGATACACTGTGCTTTCAAATACCCAAGGAGTTCCCAAGTAGATGAAGGGCAGGCACTATATAAAGAAGAAAGAAACTGAAGGCAGTGGCTTGGAGAAAGAATTAATACTATTCCTCCACTCCCCCCTCCATCCTCTGCCAAGTTTTCCCATTACTCAGCTAGACTACAAGTTCCACCAACAAAGGTTCACTTAGCAACCAGTCTCTTCTCTGAGTTCAACTCGCTCTAGGTGTGGAAGGGACTTTCCCTCTCTCATACCTAGTAATTACTCTGTATAAAGAAAAGAGTCATGAGACTGAAACGCTAGAACAGAGGCACAAGAGCACCAACTCAGCAGCCCCCAAACTCAGGTCTGTGACAGGCAGGGGCTGTGTAAAAGAAACTCAGGATGTGGATTTTTAAATCGCCCTGAGTAACTCTCTGCTCAAACCCAGCTCTCCCACCAATAGCAGGATCTACGATTTGCCTCAGACCTCACTCGTCCTGGTTGCCTGGACGAAGTGCTTTGAGAGCAGTGAGAGGTGGAGGAGAGAAGGAGGGGACCTGGAGAATCAAGGTCAAAGGAAAAGGAAAAGTGAGATCTCTTTCCACTTAAGAGTTTGTTTCTAAAAGAGGGCTGAGAACTAGGGGGATTATGCATAAAATGACTATCTCCTTACTGTAAATTTCAGTAACATTAATCCATCTCTCAGATGGTTTACTGACTAAACTTTACTCACTAAAGTTAGGTTGGCAAATCAGTGGTCAAGTTTAACTGGACTCTGGATCTGCAGCAATTTGCCACTTAAAATGAAGACATTTAATCAAGACTAGAGAGCTAAGTTCCTAGAAGACACAGTAGGAGGGGGAAGGAAGGCAACTTACAGTTAAATAAAGTAAGAAATGATTTTTATAATGAGTATTCCTTTTAGCGCTTGTTGGGAACACAATTACCATCTTAGTTTAGGAAAGCTAGAACCTGACAGTTGCACAATAAGGAAAAGGAGGAGAAAATGGCAACTCCAGCTCAGAAGAGGTCAAAAGAGACAGAGCAGGAAAAGGGAGTAAGAAAAAAAACAATGAATCCCACTTCTCTCCATTGCAAAGAAGGGCAATGAATGACCACTTTAATCCTCTGTCCATCCTTGTCCCAGAAAGAACAAAATAATCCCCGCCCTTGCAGTAGTTATAGTAAAATCACCACAAAATGGACACGGGTAATCAGGCCACCAACATTTTCCCCCCTCCTCAAATTGAAAGCATACGAGGAGGGGTACTCAAAGAGGAAAAACAAGTAAGTAAATACGGAAAGTCTTAAATTCACTGCCTGAGAGCATTATCAATGCTCTTTTGTTAAATAGAGTTCTCCAGAGTAAAGCAAAAAGAAACTTGATATTCAGGAAATTATGACCCAAAATAAAAAAAGATTTTCCAGTAAACTGAAGTTTTAGCCCTGTGTGTATTTTAAAATACTGAACCTGAGAAAATATAATTATAGAAAGTATAGAAATTTCTAACTGATCTTTTTAGAGAAAGGAATGCTTTTAAGTTGAGAGAGTAAGGAGTGGTCAGAAAAACAAGTATCTCAATTTTACAAATGTATTTTCTTCCCACATGATTCTAAACTATTACAGGAAACTGTTAAATGATTAAACTAAATTTTTCCTTTGAAAGTGAAAGCGTTCAGTAATTTGTGACGGTTTCTAAATAATTAACACAAGAGCTTAAATTTAAACAAAAGTTTTCTTTAATGCTACGAAAGGTTATACGCTTATGAATTTGCTGTCAGTAAGAGTCTTCTCTTTGTACTTGCTCAAACCAGGAAAAACAATTGCATCCATTCAGTAATGGAACTGCACAATGACAGAATGAAAAATCAGTGTTTTTATACCAAGTCATCTCAAGTAATAAAGTAATAAATCTTTACGCTGACATTGTTTTTAATTCTTCTTTAAAATGCTAGTCAGCATGAGAAAGGCAGAGATGGCAGGCAACACTTAAACTCCCATCTATAAAGCACATTACATTTTATTCATTTCTTTCCCTTTCATGAGCCCCATTTTCTTGCCTTGCATAATGAAGCATTTCAAGCCAAAAATCATGAAGCAGGAACAGAATAATAAAAATCAGGCAGCTCTCAAATAGCTGCATTAGAGTCAGATTAACCAAATGCTGACTGTTTCCAAACATATGCTTTAGCTTTGAGCTATATTTTTAAATATAATTTTTGAAATTGGGTATGCCTAGTGTCCTAAAATGAAAATGAAAACAACCAAAACGTGATCTTTGAAAACCAGAGTATGCTTTAAAGAAAATATTTAGTGTTCTTCTGTTCATCAACTCATTCCTGATTCTCAAAGGAGAATCCCAAAATATCAGATTCAGATCCATCACCATCTACAAGGCTGCTTGTCGAAGTTCTTAATGGTGCAACATTTCTGAATAAATATATCTTTTTATACGTTCATTTTTTATTTCATTGAACTACAGTTGATTTACAGTATTTTTTTCATTGAGGATCTTCTTTCTTGAACTTCAACACATGTCAGAGAGACACATTCTGGCAATCACAGCTGTGCTGGAGTCTGGCCCTGAGTGGGGCTGTCTGGGGGTGCTCAGTGTTAATGCTGTGTTTCAGGGGCATCGAGTCTCAATGCGGAGCCATCCTTGCCTCCAGGCTTCAAGACATTCATCAAAATGATCAGTGATATCAGCCCAAGTTTCAGTTCAGCAGGGGCAGCGCCCTCTCCTGAAGCATGGATTTTAGACACTGGGGGTTCCCAATCAGGACTCCCAGATCCCCAAAGCCCCAGCCCTGACAGTTGGATCTGCAGGACCAAGCATGGCAACTAAACTGTTGGCTGGATGGTCCAGAACATCACGCACCCATACCGAAAGCAATCCAGTTGTCTTTTCTTAGGAGCTGAATTGTGTGCCCTCCAAATTCATATGCTGGAGTCCTAACCCCCAGTACCACCAGAACGTGACTGTATTTGGAGACAGAGTCTTTAAAGGGTAATTGATGGGGTCATTAGAGTGGGCCCTAATCCAGTATGACGAGTGTCCTTATAAAAAGAAGAGAGTAGGACACAGAAGGAAGATGATGCAAAGACACAGGGAGAAGACAGCCATCTATAAGCCAAGGACAGAGGCCTCAGAAGAAACCAAACTGGCCAACACCTTCATCTCAGACTTCCAGCCTCCAGACTGCAGGAAAACCTGTTGTTTAAGACAGTCTGCGGTACTTCGTTATGGGAGCCTGAGCAAATGAATACACACACACACACACACACACACAGCCTTATACAGGGGAATGATTTTGTTACTATAGCCTTGACTAAAATTACAACTTGAATATAACTTTTCTGTTATCTGCATGTGAAACTCAAATTAGAATTAATATTAACAGGCACACACAAACATGATTAGGTCTACCTTCTTCACAAAGGTAAACAAACTAATAAAACCTCTTGTTTGATTCATTTTTCCCTCTTTCCTTTTGTTTTTACCTTGTGGTAAAACTTTAAGGTAATTTCTTCTGACATTCAGTTCTCGTAAGGATTTCAGTTGCCCTATCTGCTGAGGCAAGGCTGTGATCTCATTGCAGCTGACGTCCTGTATCAAAGACAAAGAGAGAAACAATAAATGCCTTTTTCCGGGAAATCAAGCATTTCACATGACATCTCCTTCAAGAATTTAAGTATTAGGGTAACTACACAGGTAGATTTTTATACTGGTCTCCAGGTCCAAGGCCAAGTAAGGCTTAGCACAGAGAAAAAAAAGAAAGAGCAAGGTTTCAAAGCATCCTCCAGGAGAGGAAAGGCAAAAAAAGCAGCAAGTCAAGTAGCCTTAGGGAGAGACTGCCAGCCGGGCAGCCTGCTGCTCTCAGGGCTTCAGTCTCACTTCATTCTCACAACAGACTCATGAGGCAGTATTACTGGCCTAATAGTCACAGACCAGAAAAATGAGGCTTCAGAAAGTTCAGCCAGTTGTCTGAGGCTTGCATGTACCAAAGTTAACACTCCGAACAAATTTCCAGCCCACCGTTCAGCCCTACCCTACCTTACCAACCACTCTCATTTTGCAGTGTATAGCCACATATATAAAAGCATTGTTTGGATGCGTTATTTATTTAAAATGGAGTTCTTACAAGAAGGCTGGAAATTTTGGACCTGAACACCTTTACATACATTTTATAAGCATGACTGTGGGCTATGCAGACTATGCCTTCTTTGCTTTGGAAAACTAATACCCTATTAACAATTGTTGATTGAACCACCTCTTGACACGTGCAAAATGGTGTCCGTGACATTTTTCATCTTCTGTATCCTTATTATCTCCCCTAAGCCCACTCTTCCTCTTGTCTCTAGGCTCTGCCCCGCTCCCCACCTCCGTCACCCCAGCTGCTCCTTTACTCCAGAGCAGCAGCATCTCTCAGCTAGATGCTATAATGGTCTCCTGGTTGTTTCCAGGCATCAATCTCCTCCTCGGATCCATCCTTCACAGGGTGTGAACGTCACTGTATCATTCACCAGCTTAAACGTTTGCAACAGCTCCTCAGGAATTACAAGATAAAGTCCCAAGCTCAAAACTGCTCAAACATTTGCCTTCTCCTGCAAGCCTGTGAGCTCCCAGATGGAAGAGACCGTGTCTGGTTCACTCTGTCCTCCTGGCGCCGAGCAGAATACCAGGTATGAAGTAAGGGATCAATAAATGTCGGATGGAATGTCTGAAGTCCATTTACATTGATGCTCCAGAATGCCACAGTTTACTCTGTCTCTGGCTAGGAGCCCAGGAGGCTCCAACATACACACCACTTCCCTTGCAGGTCCTGCTTGGTGTCGCAGAACCACAGATGTATTTGGGGCTACAAATGACCCCAATGAGATCAAGTCCTTAAACACCCCCACATCACTGCTGAACCTGCAAAAACTCCCCCTATCGCTCCTTTTAGAAGGCAGCGAAGCCTAGTTTCATAAATCGGTTTCCTGTTCACTTAGATGAGAGGGACTCACCACTGAGCAATTCCCTGAAACCTCCGGGCTCCGTGTAAGTGCAGGGCTGAACAGAACACAGTGGACGGCTGCCCTCTAACCTCCTCTTATTTAAATATCCTCAGGAGACCTGCCAATCTGTCAAGGTCATGAAGGTGCTAAATGGGTACCATTTCAGGAAGAAGGAACACTGCCGCTCCTGCTAAGGAGGGTGAAGCTCTGGTCTGTGAAGGCTGGATGCACACAACGGAATCAGCCCGCCATTCTGTTCTGTACTCAGCTATCTGACTTGGGGTGGGAGTGGGGCGCTGGCATGTCATAGGTTTAGAACATTAGGTGTTCGATGGCATTACCCCCGAGCAGGCTGTTGCTGCATTGCTCCTGGCCCAGAAAAGTCACATCAAATTTTATGGAAAACATCCCTAAGTAGTTTAAAAAAAAAAAACCAAAACCAAAAACCAAAAACCAAAAACCAACCCACAAGCACATCTGCAGAGACATAAAAGTCTAAGGAAGCAATTACAGAATTAGGAGGTCCAGGGATTTGTTCAGTCTCTCTTAGCCCCTCACTGAGCCAGTAAATTACCCTGCCTTTCTGAATATGCTTCCATATATGAGAAGTGGAAAGTGAAACGCCACCTTTTCCCAATTACTGTGGCATCTGATCAGCCACAGAAGTCAACAACCAAAACCTTTCAATGAAGGTTTTCTCTTTCTTTGCTTTAACCAAGTGACGAATAAACAAGGGATACCATTTTAGTTTATTTTAAGAGACCTCACATACACAATAGACAGGTAAGCCCTGAAACATATGAAATTAAATCATTTTATTGGACTCACGACCATGCACAGTCATGCTGGCGATGGCTGAGGGGAGGGGAAGTCATAGGGGAAGGATTAGTGGGGATTATTTTCCACCTCTAGGGGGATTTTATGCTATTGACATCTAGAATGTTTTTTATAAGTCTGTGAGTGACAGCAGGAGAAGGACTCTTTTGCAGATCATGGGAATCACAGATTTTCAGTGTGAAAATCACAGATTTTCAGAAGTTTCAAGGACATAATTTTTAAAAATCTTTCTCTTTAAAAAAAGGGAAAGGGGGAGGAAAGCCAAAAGATAACAAATTTAGCCACATTCTCATCATGAAATCTCTTGAGATGAAATGCATCCTTACCCTATTTTTTTGTGTGTACTATATTCACCTTGCATTTTGTTGATTACCCCTGGTTAGTCCGGAATATCAAAGTATGTCTTTTCCCTAAATATAAGGTAATTTTTCCAATGTATATTTCTAAATGGCTTCATCAAAGAAAATAAACTCTCTTCAGCTATATTTAAATACTTATTTACCAGCAGGGAAAATGCTTCCCTAATTTACTTTTTTTTTTTTTAAGAACTTCACATAATGATAAAAAACAAGTTTTTCCTTCTGACTTACAGGACAGGACAGGACATCTGTAGACAATTAGAAACACAAAGTCCAATTGTCCATTCACATTTTGAAGGGTACATGGTGAAGGTCAAATTATTTTAATAGAACTCTGCACTGCTGTCAGTCACATCCTGTCCTGCCAAAATAATGAAGGGGAAAAATGCCCAGGCAGATGGAGCGTGCAAGGGAGATAAGCACTTCTCACTACTGTATGATCAATACTGCAGAGAAACGTGCAAACTCTTTTCCCTCCCAGCTATCGACCCTTGCCAAGTTTTAAAAAGGTTATGAATTTCGTCACAAAAATAAAACCCCATAGGTAATTACGGCTTAATTAGTTGGGGAATGAGGAGGAGGACAGAGAGGATAATAGTCTAGATGTTTGGGACTGAGATTCTTAAGGTTAGAAAGTGTAAGAGCAACATTCCTAGAACAGCCTGCTTCTCTAGAACCTGTCCGTCCACATTTAGCCTACTTGAGAAAGTATGACTCTTTTTTTTTTTGGAGTTCATTTTAAAAAGATATGATTCAGGGAAATGAATTTTAAAAACAAGCAACATTAATGCCCCACATTTCTCCAATTAGTGAGAATTAATCAAGCTGTGAGTTCCAGATCCAGCAGCTTCTTAGGATAGTCAAATGAATCCCTTCTGGAATGGTCTATGAGCCCTAAGCTACGTATTGGAGAATAATTACTCCAAGCTACAGTGAAATCAAGTGACCATAAATTTAGTAGTACAGTATTATAAATATACAAAAGTAGGCCTAAAAGAAATTATCACACATGTCATAAATGTTTACTAATTCTATTCTTTTTGATACAGAAATGAATCTAATCATTATACATTCTATAATCATAGAAATACTCAAACTTAAGTTTTACGAACCAGTCAGTCCAATTCAGTCATTTAGATTAAAAAAATCTAAACAGAGAATTTTAGCTATGACTTAAAGTATATTTATTTTCAACTGGTTTAATCAAGATGCTTTTAAACAACCAAAAGAAAACTTTAAAAGTAAGATTCTTATTTCATCACAGCTCTTCTAAGCAACAACCAAAAAGTCTCTCAAAGTGTTAAACGCATGTTGGAGGTTAATACATATTTACTGCCTGCCTGCTAATTGCTAACCTACCTTCAGAATGCCAAAGTGACAAGGATTTAAAACATCAAGAGTAGGTTCAAGGATTATTAAACTAGATAACACTCACTTTCAGAAAATAATATGTTTTTAAAAGACTAGCATGTTTTTTAAGGTATGGCACGGTACCTTCCTCTGATGGGCTACCTGCCTCTGCCTCTGAGTCTTGGGTTTTCACAAACTTGGCATGGTTATACTATTGCTTAAGTTGTTTTTTAAAATCTAGCTCTTTATTTAATTGAAAAAATGCAAACGTTCTGACAGGAAATACAAGCTATTAATAATGGCCTCCCACCATGTGACCATGCCCTTTTTTGGAAATGTCTTTTGTATGATTCACTGTGTAACTTTAGGTAAATATCTTAACCTCTCTGTGCCTATGCATAAAGAAGAGGCGAGATCAAATAATTCTAATTTCCTTCCAACATCAGGAAAATTCATTTACCACATCGGAAATAAAGAAGAGATTTTGATTGAAAGACACTTAACTGGCTTAGGAGTAATGTCTATTTTGATATTTTAGCCATCAGAAAACCTAAATGCCTGTTGTCAGAACTTTTTCTTTTAAAACAAATCAGTCTTCTCCTTTAAACTCAAGACTTGATTTCAAGTGACCTCTAGTATGATAAATATTCATCTCTCAACACTTACTCAGAGTCTCTTTTTAGTATAAAACTCTCCCTTGCTCCCTTCCACATAGCCACAATTACATAGCTCACCCCACTCCTCCTGATAAGAAAGGCAGAGGTGGGAGCAACAGAAGGGACCTCGCACAAGCCATGGGTTTCCAACTGTCTCACAGAAACCAGAGAGGTCAGGAGGCATCTCCAGGGACCATGAGTGGACAAATGGTTACGGCAGACACATGAATTCATGTCTCCACTACAGAGACTGGAATAAGAAAAAAAAAAAAAACAAAGAAGGGGTTTTCCTCAGGAACTTCTCGATACATCCTGTCTAGAATCAATCCCTGAATTCCAACTCTCCACGCAACCAAATGTTTCACAAAAAGAAAAAAAAGAAAATTTGCATGTCTAGTCAGAGCCAGGAAATGCACCTTTCAATCCATTTTACCTGAGTCAGGCCCCATGAGTTTTGGGTTGTAAAACTAGGTTTCTGAATCAGTGACATTATGCTCCTTTATATGAAGTGAACAGCCAGAAGACACACACACACACACACACACACACACACACACACACACAGTATGAGTTGGGAGAGGACAGAATTGAGAAAAACTAAACAAGAGATGGACCATCTCTGAACCCCAGTGTGTCAGCACATACAGGGAACCAGTGAGGAAGCGCCTAGGCCTTTGGCAAACATGTCCCATAAAAGGTTCTCAAATTTATTGTGTTCTTCCTCCGTCTTCTTCACAGATAGCCACCAGTTAACTATAACACAGCATTCACACGGTGTTTCTTACCAAATATTTAACACACCTTATCCTTCAAGCATGATTTGACAAGAAAAGAACCATGTTTCCAGGATGTTGACACCGTTTTTATGAGTAAAATGAGGTTAGTCAACCCAAGAGAAGTCTGCTGACCCTGCTGCCTGGCTTGTGGTTCCTCGGTAGGAAACTCTCAGGCGACACTGCCCACGGGCACCACGCCAGAGATTTGCAACCTTCTCCCACTCGCTTTCAGCTGTTCAGGGCCTGCCACAGCCTTAATGGGAAAACCACTGCAAGTTGAACCAGGGAATTCCAAAGAAAGAAACCATGCCTCCTCTCCACAAGGGGCTTACGGTCCAGATGCAGACCAAGCAGGCGCAGCTGCCCTGTGCTGTGGGAAGCCCTGGGGCTCTCTTCAGATAAACCAGGTTTTCACTCCTGCACCACCACGTCATAGCCCTATGCCTTTGGGCAAGTAATTCCAAAACTCAAACTTGTCTGTGCAAGGAAGATACGATATACACCCTGCTGGGTTGCTGCCAAGATCTCATGATACAACACATGTCATTACCCAGCAGAGTGCCTGGCATACAGGAGGTGCTCAGTAAATGCCAGTGCTGTACTGCCTTCTCTTATAGAGAGAACATGCAGATACAAAGTCTTACAAAGCAACACAGACATACAGCTACAGCTCTAAGGAGACGAGTGGTACAAAAATAATTCAAAAAGTGGCCAAGGAGGTTAGAAAATTCTAGATCATTTCCACCAGAAATGACCCTGGAGGGACGGCTCCATAAAGCTAAGATTCCCTAAGTTCTCCTGCACTTGAAACAATGTGGAAATACATCTTGGCCTCTCATGCGGCTTCAAGAAAAGACATCTCAAGGGAGGAGGGTAGAGCTCAGTGGGAGAGTGTGCGCTTAGTATGCCCGAGGTCCTGGGTTCAATCCCCAGTATCATTAAAATAAATAAACAAACAAATAAACCTAATTACCTCCCCCGCCAAAAATTTTTTTAAAAAAGACAAGACATCTCAGAAGTGTTTCTTAATGAAAGTCTTCATGGAAGGAGAAAAAGCTGCTTGTCCTTATTCTCTGCCCAGTCACAATCACTGGATGGCAATGCTTTGTGTTTTAAGCTTCTTAGACAACGGGGATATATTCAAGCAGGTAAGATTATACTCTTTCCCAGCTCCAACTCATCTCAAAAATTAAGAGAGGGCACCTCCTTTCTTGCAGATAGCCACGGTGCCTTTATTTTTGTTTTTTAAGCAAATCATCACTCTGGAACATTCACTCACACTTGGAAGAGAAGAGAGTTTACAACTCAGTTTAGGCTACTCTTTGAGTCTAATGAGAAAATTTTAAAAAATGCTTCTTCCCCAACAGTTAAACAATGCTCAGAGCCTAATAATACACTGAGAGATGTTATCAGCACTTAGGTGGCGTAAGGTACTCTGAACACTTGGGGAGTTCCCAGATTTTTTTAACAAGTTGGTTACTGTGAAACTACAAAACAGAAGCCTCCCACGTAATTCTACAATCACTTCAGGCTCTCCAGGGATTTTTTTCCAGTTGATAGCTAAAAAGCATTCGCATGGTTACCTGCAGTATCACTACTGTTTTAAGCAAAAAGATATGAAAGATAAATAAGGACTGATGGAAACTAATCTTTCGTAGTCTGTGAACTTAAGCAAGGCCCATCACCCCTTATGGTTAAATAGAGGTAACTTATTAAATGTTCACCAGCTTTACGAATAAATGGTTTTTGCAAAGTTCATGCTTGCTCATAACAGCAAAAAGCACACAGGGTACAGAGCGGCCCCATCTGATCAGGTGGTCCCTGCCATGTGTGGCTCCTGAGCAGGAGTAATGTGGCTGTCCTGTCTGTGAAGTGCTGTCTGTGGAAAATACACACCCAACCTCAAAAACTCAGTACAGAAGAAAGACTATAAAATATTTCATTAATTTTATATTGTTACAGGTGTTGAAAGAATACTTTGGCTATCATGGGTTAACTAAAATATACTATTAAAATTAATTTCACTTGCATCTGTTTTTTTTTTAATGTGGCTGCTAGTACATTTAAAATCATATTCGCTGCCAGCATCCCCTCTCCATGGGACAGGGCTAGGTGAGGGCGTTTCTGCTCAGGTTAAAGTCAGCTACGCCAGGGCGACCTTCGGCACATCGCTCACCACTCTCTGCCTTGGGTTTCTTCCTCTGTAAGTTGTCGAGAGGTTGGACTAGATGTCTTTTAGAACCATTATGGCTCTAACATTCTAGGACTCAAGGGTTCAAGAGTTGTTACCCGTGGAGAAAAGACACAAGCATGGGTTGATGACGGAGCTGTGACCAGGGGGCAGGGCAGCCTTCACTAGAGCTGGGCTCCAGACAGGGCGCCTAAGAAAAGCTCAGGGCAGCCCTTACAGCCAGCCAGCAGCCTGTGTGTCCTGAGGCTGGAGACAGTGCCGCTCCGCTTCTGCCGCACGCCAGCCTGGCAGCTGACGAAAGTAATTGAGGAAAGCCCTGCTCTGCTGCGGGGCTGGCCATGGGACTCAGCACAGGTGCCCCTACTAACAGACGAGCCGGTCGGTAGCTCGAGCCGCGCAGCTGACGGATGGCACGCTGTCGGCTTCAGCCCAGGGTGCGGTGGGACAGAAACACACTCCGGCTGCCAAAGACTGACCTCACCGATGTGCCACCCACCCGCTCCATGGCAGCCCGAGAAGTAGGGGGGAAGAAAGCCAATTCTTCATTCATCCTGTGTTTGCAAGACCCAATCCAAATTCTAGCAAACTGGATTTGGGGGGGTTATCAGACTCCTAAAAGAAGCTTTTTTTTTTTTAAGCATATAACTATCAGTTTCGTCCAAAGTGTCATTAGGTATATTTTTTGTTTTCTGGAGCCAGTTAAAACAGCACCTTCTGAATTAACTTGGACTGAAAGATAATCATCCCCCCACTGGCACGGCCCTTGGGAGTCCTCACAATCTGTCCCCAGCCACCTTCTTGGCCCACTGTCCACCATTTGACAACAGCCTTCACAAACATTTTTTGGGCATCTATTTTGTGCCAAGCATAGGGAACAACAGCAAGTAAGACGCAGTTCCTGTCCTTAAGTAGTTTTCAAGGTGTATCAGGGCATCGACTAAGGGGTCACAGAATTCTCCATCTGGGCCTCCCAAGCCATCACCCCAAAGCTCCTGGTAACCCATAGAAATTAACCGGAGATGGCACACAAGAGAAAAGTGACTGGCCATAATACTTGAAGGAAGGTATTGTGTCCCTTCCATGGCTGTAATCACGACATCCAGCTTTGTGCTGGACACAAGGGTGGTGGAAGAATGCATGTTGGAGGATAAATTATGACTATTATGGTTTAGCCCAGTTGCTCATTCTTGCCTCTTCATTCACCCAAAAGGTCTTAGCTCAATGGAAGTCTAGAGAGAACTCACTTTTTCTCATTTTAAAAACAAGGTCAGTCATTCAATTAGTAGTGAAAGAGCTGAAGTCTGGGCCTCAGGTACACACTTCCAAGCCATCTCTGCCTATCAATAACCTGCTCTTCTTTCTTATCCCTGGGGATGTGGTCACATTTTAAAGTCATCAATGTGGGGCAATGGTTCTAAAATTCTTACAGAATCAGAGAACTCTGTTCTTTCCAACTTAATTATACACATTCGTAAGCTGTGGCCTACTTACTTATTTGCAGATTATTTTGCCAGTGTATCCATAATTTATCACAAACTTATTTATGCCATCTGAAAAAAAGTGATCTAGCGTCCATAGGATGATCTGTAGACTTCAGGACCTGTAAATCCTGCCAACTTTAGCACGTGTACATCACCGGAAACCTGTAAATTTCAGGAGCTGTGTCCGTCCCAGCAAAGCCTTGATTATTCCTTTTCCCACTTACTGTCTTTATCATATAGAGGCGACAGCATGATCTCCTCCTTGTCCCAGTATGGGAAAAGTCTTTTTGACTACCTGATAGGCTATGATTAGTAAACAAACAAAAAAAGCATCTTAAAAATCAGTAACATACCAATTCCATTAACTGTTTGAGCTGACCTATCTCTTCCGGCAGCGATCCAAGTTTGTTGTTACTTGCGATTAAGACTTTGAGCGGCAGACCACACAGGCAGGCCGGCAGCGAGGACAGCTGATTTCGACTGCAAAAAAATACAGGAATTCTGGTAAACATGCAGGCGACTTCATACTGTTGGCAAACATGTTTTTTAATACATAAGGAGAAAGAAAGAAAATATTCTGCAAATATAAAAAGTCCAATAAACCTTCTATATGTATAATAACTTAAATCCCAAGTGTATAAGAAAATTAAAAAATATTTTTTAAAAAGAGAGGCAGAGGCAGTTTGAGGGGAAACAATTTTTCCCAGCACAAGGGACCCCGTCAAGCTCCCTGGCAGGTGCTGAGCCCTGAGCCAGCCCATAAGCAGATGGCCAAGAAGCGCTGCTCCACTCATAGCAACGGGAAGCTGGTGTCAACTGTCCTCTTCCTGCCAGTGTGAGCAGGAGACTCGGCGAGGACCAGAGCAACCAGCCCGGTGCAGTGAAGCATCACCACATCCATCTTGGTAGTGATGGGGAAGATGGTTTTGCTGCAACTCACAAAACCACCGGGCCCATCTCCAACATTTTGATTCAGCTTCTTTTTGTTAAAGTAAAGCTCTGTGGCTAAATTCTGCTTGGGTGTCTGGGAGAGCTAATTTAAAAAGGAAAAGGAAAGTTGTCACCTTCTGGCAAAAGTGAAGCCAGGGCCAAGAGGGGCTCAGTTTCTCAGAGGAGCCGGGAAAGTCTGAGTCCAGGTCTCACCTCTGCTCTGCATTAAGAGGTCTCTATTCAGAAGTCTTTAAATGCCCTACGTCAGTGCTGGCTGGCTGAGAGATGGGAAAACACTGGACCAGTGAAATCCATGCATCACCCGTAAATACATGGCAGCCACTTATCTCACCTCCTCCCTCCCAGGAGCCCTTTCCTGCTTTCAAGTAAGGAGACAGATGGCTTTCAGTTTCCCTTTTTTTCTCGGCCATTTTGTTGAGGAAGCCAAAGACCAGGCAGTGAAATATCTATAAATCTGTATGTCATATTATTGCAATTATTTGGAACTTCTGTGTGTATCTGCACACATGTGTGAGGCTTCAGAGGCTGTGGTATGGTGTATGTGTGTGTTTATGGGCGCACATAGATCTTTGTGTGTGAGAGGGAGGGACAGACAGACTGGAAACACACCAAAATGTTATCCGTGCTCATTTTGGGGGGAGTAGGTACAATGAGTGAATTTTATTTTCTTTATCAGACTTTGCTGCATTTTCCCAAATTCCTACAAAGTGCTTCCATAATTAGGGAAGAAATATTATAAAAAGATAAACTTCACTTGGATCCTGGTTACATGGGTGCTTCTATTTGTGAAAATTCATCAAGATACACGTATTATCTGTGTAATTTTCTGTATGTATGTTATACATCAATTAAACCTTTTACTCCCCCACCTACCATATGAGGGGGTCGGTGTCTGGTCAGCCAAAGGGTATCTCTAACTGCTGGGCTCAGAAAAAGCAGGCGTTACACTGTCAAAATAACCTTTCTAATCTGGCTGCCCACCTGTGACCACCCTGACCAGGGACCCGATGCCCGGGTAAACAGGTTTTAGCAAGAAAAGGTACAGCCAGAGCTTCACCATTGCCCAGATCTGCAAAGAAAGCTATTTCCAGAAAGGGGCAGAGGAGAAGAGCTTTCTCTAAGAGGGTCCAGCAGGACGGGGAGGAGATTGCAAGCCCTATGCCGGGGATGGGGGTGTCCTGGGACCAGAAGGATCAGCTGGCTCCAAGCCCCCCAATTTAGGATGACAGGCTAGAAAAACGGGCGACAGGCTCACCCCGGCACTCTCTCCTGATCTCCGGAGGCAGCGGAAGGAGGAAGCAGGGCACCAGCCTGTCCTTCTGTGCCCTCCCACCCCTCCGGCTGCCCTCTACTCCTGCAGGAGCCCAGCGGCCTCCTCTGGCTGGGTGAGGGGCCGTCCTGGTGCCCTGCAGGGAGAGCTTTCTTCCAGCTCCAAAAAACATTCCTGAGCCACTCTCTCCAGAAAAAAGAACTCAGTTTATTAAAAGGCAGCAAGTAAATAACTTGGAATGTAATCTGTGGCTTAAAATATCTATTAAGATGCAATTTCATAAATTGAGGATTGATAAGTTAAACTTTTAACAAGGCAATTCTACTGTTTTGGAACCACATTTAAACTTCCTTTTGAAGAGAGGATAATGGGAACAAAGATTACGTATTTTCAGAAATTTCCACACTCCTATTTCCCACAGAATCAACAATTACAGTTGGAGATCTTCCCTGTGTTTCTCCGCTTGGAAATTCAGATTTAAAGTAGTCCCAGCCTCACCAGCTGGCTGCAGGCATCTAATCAGATTAGCAGGTATGGAACTGGGAGCGCATACATACAGCATGTAAGCAATGCAGGGAAGGCATGTGAGCATTTGAAATTACAAGGGATTATTCCCACTAGAATTCTTCCAGGGTGGGTAACTAATTTAAAATAAAATAAAATTTAGGCTTATGAAAGCATTTGTGGTTTCTCTAATGGGAATGAATGCTTCTTATGCTAAAAGCAGCTGACGGAACAGCCTATTTATGCCTGACACATTCCTCCATTTGTGCTGTAGTGAATCACCTGTGCGCAAATCTGAGCTCCCAGGACTTGTCATAATACAGCATGCCACAGGCCTGGGGCACATTTCTTCCACTTCATCCATCCATTCCCTCAGGATGTTCCTGTATTACCAGTAATTTCCCCAATAGAAAAAGGAAATACACATGCACGCAAAAACCCATTAGCTCTCCAGCAAATATTCATAAAGAAGAGGAGAAACTGCACACTCTTTAATCCTCTACCCACTAAAGACCACATCAGCAGCCTGAGCTTTTTTGAAACCACTCATCTGGCAGCAATTTTTCTCAAGCAATCAAGTGCCTCAGGCCGCAATCCACCATCCTGGCCCCTACTTGCCTCCCACAGACCCTCTGCACTATGAACAGGCCCTTGGAGGAAAGAAATGTTTAAAAAAATAAGGCTATACAGTATCTGATAAAGTAATGGCCAACATTCATTTTCAAATCTAGCCTGGGAGTCACATCTGAAAGCAATATTAAAAAAAAAAAAAGATTTTTTTTTTAAACTCACTCATTACAAAAGAGTAAATTAGTGGGGGAAAGGAGCCACTTATTCAGAAGTAGAAATTACAGATTCAGTCATGGTGGCCTGAGCCTTCCTGCCATCACAGGGCAGGGCCTGCCTGGTGTCAGCTGTCACCCTCCCTGCCCAGTCTGGGTAGAGGAAGGAGCGGGAGGAAGGGGCGGGGAGGAACGGGGACGGGCAGAGGGCAGTGGGCTTTACTGCTAACGCTGTGTCTTCCATCTTTCTCAGCTGAATGACTCCCCCGTCCTAGACTTACTGGTCTGTTTCCTCATTTCAGGATGAAACAAGGCAGCTCATGTAATCTGAACAGTTTCTGATAGCCTCAGTTTAGAGGATCAATTTCTCTTTAAGTATCACTACCCTCACGTAACATAATCCCTAAATGAGGGAATTCACAAACCAAGTCACTTCTGTATGGTTTCACTCTTAGAGACTCTTATTTTAATGTATTTTGACTCTGGTCTTATTAATATTCATGCTTTCAGACTTGATTTTGGTATTTAAAATTATTTATTATTGGTTTATCAGAAAGCTACTTTCCTTAAAGTATGTGATGACAAAAACATGCTATATTCTTACATGTGATTTTATTATCAGGCATCATATATATTTTTTATTCTACTGGAAAACATGCTTCTTCTAAGTGAATGGGTTCACTTAACAATGAAACATGGAACTTACTTAACAGAAAATAATTTACAGAAAGAGTTCTATAACAGACTCCCCTACTCAACTGGTAAAGAGGTCACCAACTGTGGAATTAGAAGACCTGTATTGAAGTCTTATGTCTGCCACAACTGTCTATATGACTTTGGGTAAGTCACTGAATCTCTCTGGCTTTGCCATTCATCAATCATCAGTACTAACACCTACCTAACATGATACATGAGGTTATGAATGTGAATGTGCTTAGCCTGACACTAAATCCACACACAAAGGTTAAACCATACCCAATCACTAACGTGGCAAAGCAGTGGGAGGGTGACCACAAAGAGCTTGATTAGGTTTTAGTTATTTATTTTATTCCTAATCGCTAACATTCCAGCCACTCTGAAAATATGGTTGCCTGTTCCCTTTGTTGAAAACACATGCCAGTTAAAGATGACCACTCCAAGGCATGCTGCGGAGAACCAGGCTGGGCTGTAAAGTTTCAAGCCAAAACAAACCAAGTAATTATTTCCAATCTGGAGAACCAGAACTAGAACATATAATCACATGAATGACCTTTTTCCTCCCATCTTCTTTGATTCAAAGAGCCTACCATTCCTCTGGGAAAACGTGAACACTCAGGGATCATCACCCTAGTTGCCAAAGAGTTAACAGAAATAGTGATGTGAATCACTAACCATCAAGAACCTACTGAGAAAATGTCACAGTGTGCATGTGAAGGGCACAGAGAAGGCAGGGCAGATTTCCGGGCTCACCCTATGTGAGTCTCAGCCAGGGAGGGGAATGAACAACTCTGCAGTCAGTATTGTGTTATTGCCTGTTTGAATCCCACTGTCTGCTTGGCACGTGACCCACCGTTAAGAGCGGTTATCTCACTGGAGCCAAGTCAGTTTCCTCTTGCACAGGATACCTCACCTAATTTTGTTCTGTGCTCGTTTTGCATACCCTGTTTGCCTTTCATTAAAGGCAGAGTAAATTTTTTCTGTTGTGCTTATGACACTTGGCTGTTAATTGTCCTCAGGCCCACACAATGCTGAACAATATCCATAGAGAACTATTTCCTTTTTCCTGCTTGGTTCGTTCTGAAAACCCACCATGGCAAAATTTCTCACCCTCGTTTCCCCAAATGACTGAGAACTTCCCTCCTCCTGCATGGCCAGCCCTCCCCCTTCATTCCAGCCATCATTTTATGCCTGAGACAGTGACCAACAACAACCAGAGCTGGCTTAAGTTGCCTGGAGATACTTCGCTCAACTTTAATTTTTATAAATATAAATTA